TCTAGCTTTCAACCCCAGTTGGACTCAACAGAGAAAAATCTGACTTTTCAAACTGCAGTTTCAAACGGTGATCATTAAAAATGAATATCGCAGATTTACCCTCATATTTTTTCTCTGCCTCATCTCCTTTGTTAGCATACTAAGCTTTTATTCGAACCAAATGAATTTTAATTTATATTCATATTTGTTCATTATATATTTAATTAATTATCCAGAACGTGTTTTCAAATTTTTCTATGTAACAAATCTGTTTATTTTATAATTTCACAAATAAACTATTTATATTTTATCATAATAATTTTATGTATTTTTTTAAACTATTATCACATTAAACACATAAAATTTCAAACACTACTACTCAATAAAGTCTATGTCTTTTTCAGTCATTTTATAATTAAACACTACTACGCAAACAACTGTTAATTTTTTCAACTGACTTTTTAAAAACATATATCCAAACATACCTGCATTCTCCTAGCCAAACACACCTTAACCAATGAAAGTATAGACTTTACAGTAATATAAAAAATTATTGGGTATTTGGCACTCACTATTATTAGTTCATAATATAAGAGTTATTTGATTTTTAATTTTATCCTAAATATAAGACCCCAATCCACTTTATCTCTCATATTTATAAATTTTTTTCAAAATAGTTTTTGTAATAGTTGCACATGTCAAAGATTTTGTTAAATAATAGTTTTAGCTAATACATTTAATTAGTGAGGGTATTTTAAGAAAAAAATACCTATTTATTACACTAACTAACTAACTATTTTCTTAATCTACTCAAATTAGTTAACTAATTTTTATATTAATACTAGAGGTGGTACTATCTTTAGTCTTGGAATTTGACCTATAATTTTTATTATTAGAATTTAAAATAAGTGGTTTTTATTCGTATCAAATAACTAACATTCCTCTGATTCTAAATAAAAACCCATTACACATTTTGTAATGTAAAGTTTATCATTAGTTTTGTCAAAGGACATTCACTTCTTCAGATTAATATGTCCACAAAATAAAGAAACCAGTAATTTCATCATGCCCCCCCCCCCAAAACACACACACACACCACACACACAATTGTTTGCATGGCTCATCTTATATTGATGAAACCTTTTAGGGGTAAAGTCCTCTTCAATTTGGTACCTCAAGGGAAAAGGCGCTATTAATCCTTATTCAAAGCATGTAAAATTTTCATGTTTGGATGTGTACAAATTAAACGTGACTAAATGGAAGTTCACGTAAGAATCTCAGTGTTGAATAAAATATTAAAATTAAGTTTCATAAGTAATACTCTTCCCCATTTTTAATTTAAAAATTAAATAAGTATTTATACAAATTAAAAAATCTGTTAAGTTAATTATATATAAAAGAAATATGCGTTTGTTTTTTCAAATTATGCTCTTCAATCTTTTGCATTTGAAAAACCAGGTAATGAAAACATTTTTAACTTGTCCAATTAATATAGAAAGTTTATAGAAAGTTTGGAAAAATATTTATACATACAAAAATAAAATGGATTCAAATCTCATTCTCGTGTCTAAAACAAAATCTAACCCCCCATCTCATGCCTAAAACATAGTAACATAGAAATATTTATAAATATATAAGCTTTAAAATTTTGAGATGAAATCTCAGGTAAAAAAAAAAAATTTGAGATGAAATGTGATGTGCTTTCACTCTTTCATTATTTGCCACCATTTTCCAGCTTCATGCTTTCCGTGCCTTACATTTTATTTTAGAAAAATTAACTTTTTTTTTTATTCTCGAAGTTTATATAGCTCAATTCTTAAATTTTGAATCTGTATATAACTCGATTCCTAATTATTGTATCATTTATAATTTTGTCCTTATCACCCTAACTGGTCACGAGTCAACATTATTATTCATCCTATGTGGCTTCCGGATCATCTCCACGTGATTTTACGTAAAATTTGATTTAAAAAAAAGAAAAGAAAAACAGGGTCCGAACGGAAGAAGCCTGAATCCGATGAAGGGGGAAACAAAGAGGAAGGCGAGAATAGCTGATGACCAGCAGAAACCTCCTCCCTACTCTGTCCAACCAGAACCCCGCCATGAATCAACGTAACATAAGTTTCATGATTCCCATTCCAAGTGTGTTTGTTTTTAATTATTTTCGTTCTTAAATTACCATAGACTAAGTAATTATTAAAATTTTTTTCATCAAGTTTTAAAATAGTAGACTGTCACTAGTCAGAGACTTATTGGTAATTTTTTCTTCTTGAAGTTCTCTTTGCTCTTTAATATTTCTCACGTAATTGCAGATATAGCCTTTTTTCTTGCTTTCGTCTTTCGGACATTTTTTTGGATCTGTTTCACCGGGAGCACCAGAAACTCGGCCTTGAGCCACGATTTGGAAGCCGGAAGCCATATAGGATGACTCAATGCCAAATCATGATCAGTTCTGTATCGATATGATAAAGATTAAATTCCAACTGATAAAATAATTACGCGGGAGTCAAAAATTTATAAGTGAGTTCAAATTTTAAGAACTTAAACTTTTTTTTTTTTGGGGTTACAGATGTCTTTGATGTTGGTTCACTTTGGCATTTCACTATGAAATCTGATCAGTGACCTTCGGGCCGTAGGTTCTCCACACACTTGACCTCGTGTTCCTAGCTCTGCAATTAATTTTGCGACTCTCCGTTAAACGACAGACGAGACATTTGAATATTAAAACACGCGCGCACACAGAGTACTACTTTAAATAGGCGCCAATAATTTAGTCTAACTATCAGCTCGCGTGAGTTGTCAAATTCATTAACACATATAGTGAAATATTATGCTACCTCCGGTCTTTAATATAATATCTTATTTGTTTTGATTTTGATCCTAAATATAAGATCTCAATTCACTTTATCTCTAATATTTATGTATTTTTTTTTCAAAATAGCTTTTCGAACAATGATAGTTCTAATCAATATACTTAATTAACAAGGATATTTTAGGAAAAACAACACATATTTATTACAAATAATTAATTTAACTTTTTTTTTAATCTCCTCAAATTAGTTAACTAGTTTTTATAATTAGGACCAGAGGTAGTATTTCTCAAATTCCTCTGTCAATCTCGATAACCATCATTATTGTGGTTGATATATATCTATGGTTTTAGTTAATTTCAATTCATTATGTGTTATTAGTTTGAGGATGGATATGCATTCCTGCCTAAGGTAAGAACCACTCGGACATCCATATATCTACTGAGTTTGGCTTCTCTGGAAATCAAATCTTTTGCGCATTTAAATGTATCATTGCTGTAAAACTATAAATCAGAGAGATTATGATATTTCAGGCTTAAAATAAAATGTAAATATCTGTGGCTTTTTAGTTTGATTTGCAAATAACTTGTAGAGGCTGATTTATGGACAAGTTAGACCGAATATCTAACCTGCAGTTTGGACATAATTTTATAGTCCCTCCCTTGTTATTTACTTGTCCTGCTTGACACTTTTCTTTTACTTCAGAAGATGCTTTGCTTCACTTCTCTAGTCTCGCTACGGATGAAATGCTTTTTCTTTTCTTCTTGGTGATAAGATGAAGTGATTTTATTGGTGTGTAAAAATTTGTTCACAGGATTACCTTAAAAAGGAAAATAAAAAGGACAGGAAATTGATCAGAGGGTCACAGAGTGGATCCATTACAGGTGGGACCCAAGAACAGGGCAAGCCCGTAGCGGTAGCTCAGGCTTTTCAGCAAACCCGAAGGACCCACCACCCCATACAAATGCACCTTGCAGACCCGGCAACGCGTGCTTCCGTGTCCATCTCCCTCTCTGGCCCTATTCTCCTGTTCTCTCTCTAAAATATTCATGCGTTGCATAATTTAGATTCTTGTATGAATGAGAGAGAATTTCAGACCTCAAACTCATCTCTTTTGTATTAGATATCCAGTTAAGCAGCTGATGTTTTCCATCTGCATTATTATACAGCTGAAATGCATCTTTCCATGCCCATCTAAACCGCTGCAAGTGCAGAAATCTCTTTCTCCTCAGCAGCTTATGCGTTTTTGTCATTTACTTGTATGCACATAAGCTGTTTGTAACAATACACAAGTGACACTCACCATGTGCCTTTTCTTCTTGTTTTCGGTGGTCCCGTCTCATAGGCAACATGGATTGATTTTCATTTCTCACATAACTTACCAAACATGGCCGCTTAACGGCTATAATCATTGCACTATGTCTTCGTTGTGTGTGGTGCTAACAAAACCCACAAAACAACATTTCGTAATATCTCGTGCAGGTACAAAACATCTATAATTGTTAGTTCCTTCTTGCCGTTTCCCGTTGTAATTGAATCAATAGAATAATAATGATAAAGAATCAATCCATGAGCTTGGTCTCTTGTGAACAGGGAGTACTTATTGGTTTTGTACAATGGACAGTTAACGTGAGGTACCCACTGATCGTACGGTCAAGATCCGTCTGTCAGCGGCAGCGAAGATGCCACCTTGAGCTCCTTCAATATAGGCACGCTTCAATTACATTGCGACATAGTGTGCAATTTTTAATTGAGACAACTGGTTTTGTCACAAAAGAAATGGTAGGTGCATGTGATTCACCTCAACAGGCTAAGCTGTTCTTTTGATGATTTGTCTTGAGCAAACCAAGACCTTGTGATCCTCAACAATTTCATAAATGCGAACACTATTATACTAATCATATATGTTTGTTTATTGTGATTAATTTATTATATCTTCATTGCTGGACCTGTCTCAAGCATCTGTTCCACAAAACTAGAATCGCATTGGTCAAGGCACTGAGATTTGTTTGGCATGCCTCAAACCCCATGCATTAGCACAGCGCTTTGGTTTCTGTGAGTAATTTTTGAGGGAGAATCTGAAATTCTTCAACAGTTGTGTTGTACTATATGTTCAATGTCCGGCAGTATATACTGCCCACTGAAGAGTCTGATGGGGAATGTGAGAGCAGAGTTCTCGAAAGAGTTGTCGCTAAAATTGGAGGGAAAGGAGGAACTTCTTGCCTTGGCTTGAAATAGATCCCTTTTGTTTTGTTGTCTTCTTTCTCACCACACAAATCACATTCAATCCTCACAGGTCAGTGTCTAAACTTTATCTCATCCTTTTCTGGGAATCCTTTGGCTCTGTAGTTTTCCCCTACAACAGACTCTAATATTCATGTTTACAATAGAATTTCTACTTTATTTGTATTCTTCTTGAGGATGCAACCTAGTGTAAGAAAACTTTCATTTTAGAATGGGCACAGAATAGGTGTACGGAGGAAAAGAAATTTTGAGGTGAAAGTCAGCTGTTCAACCATCACCCGAAGAGGGGGGGGGGAATCAAAAGAAAAGTGAAAAACTGTAGAACAAGGGCTTCACCTAGTTTACTTCATTCATTTCTTGAAAACTGGCAGGGTAACAGCACCTGATTCTTGAAAGGGAAAATATTCATCGTGAACAGAGACTGCAAATTACTTCGGGTAGATGGTCCATGATTATGGATGGGGGAGAAAGAAAGTTGAAGGGTTGGGGGAAAAAAATCAATAACTTTCTATCTGCCTTTAATTCCAACCATCCCGCTTCAGGTATTTAATAATGTGAGCATATGAAAAGAAGTGAAACTCTTTCCTTGAATATATATTTGACCGCGTGCAACTGAAAAAATAATATGATTAATGACATCAGATTTCATGAGTATATGAGAAGGAATTCATAAACATGGTAGAGTAGCTGATCAACACATAAAACATGTCCGGAGATATTTTTTTTAGCTGTCCATTCTATTGTGGTCCAAAATTTTGGAAGGAAAGCAAGCATGAGAACAGACAAATTATACTAAAAGAAGTTGATGTCATCATTTTATGTCAGCGTTTCAAGAACATCATAGCAGTGCTTTTCTTTCTTCATCCTCTTTTCTTGACAAGCATCTTTTCATTTATCAAGGTCATTCTCAGTTAAAAATTTCCTTCATTTCAGAAGCGTGACAAGAAGGTGGAGTATCAGAAACAACATGCAATGAAGATGCAGATCTGAACACAAATTCCCAAGAAAGATAGAATTGACTGCCTATTATTCAAGCTAAACAGAGCACTCATGGAGAAGCTTATCAAGCCAAGCGACAAGGAGTTCATGAGGATGGCCATTTTAAAACATGAAGAGACTTTCAGAGAGCAGGTACTTCTCTTTCTAAATTTTGCCCTTTGGGTTATTGGTCATTCAGAGATTGAGTAACCGAGATGTTCATTTTATATTACAGTTACATGAGCTCCATCGGTTGTACCGGATCCAGAAGATGCTGATGAAGAATATGAAAAATGGAAGAGCTGTTGATGTCACCCAACGAGAATGGAACTTGAAGAATGCGATTAGTTTAACTCAAACCACTAATCATCGAAAAGATGCACAGAAAAAGCCAGAAATCAAATTTGATCTTGAACGGCCAGCGGAGGAACACATTGCAGAATCAGATGGTGATGAGGTAGAGATCATGGATGAATCTGAGATTGAGCTGACACTAGGCCCGTCAAGTTACTGCGACCGTAGAAAGAAAGTTGATACACCACTAACTTCAGATTCTGGATATAGCTTGTCTTCTTCTTCCACTGGATCCAGCCATATAAACAAGACAGCGAGAGAAGATTCAAGTGGAATGAGAAACAGTTTTGTTGATATTGAAGAACGATCAAGACAAGAGAGGCTAAAACAGCCACCTTGGCTCTTTCAAGTGTTGAGTCTGAACATGACTCAATTAAATACATAGTTAAATCGCTGTTTATGGCTAACTTTGTGGATGATGTTTTTCATCTGGAATATTCTGCCTAGTCGTCAAGTGTGGTGGATTTTGATGAAGTCGAATATAACCTGTTTCCCCGGTGACCTTCCAGTTGCACTCAACATCATTATCAGCTAAAGCCATGAAAATATCATTTTGTTGATTATGGCGATCAGTCATGTCTCTAAGCTTCTGAACGCCCTGGCAATAGTTTTGCGCCCTTCGTCTGGAAGACTAGAGATGTAATTATGGAAGAGGATATATCAAATTATGTAGATAAGTTGTTTTCCAGTTCTCCCTTCTGATTTCACTTTCCACCTGCCATTCACAAATTCACAGACTAGATAACAAGAAAACGGAGTCTGGCTGCAGCCTTCCATCAGATGAACCGAATATTTCAATATTTCCTTTTAAATGTAATGTTTTTATACGCTTTAAACTGGCCGCAGTAATATGCTTATTTTGCCCAGCTGAACCCACAGGACAATTGGCCACATAAACCACCCCCCCACCCCCACCCCACAACTGTCCCCTCATACCTCACAATCACAAACTAGTCAACTAGAATGTGGAGATTGCTTCTCGAACAGTAAATTCCCTTCCAAATTCCTAACAACTTTCGACAAGTCCAAGCAAGGTTTTTTTCATATTGTGTTTGTTACTTTACACCATTGGTGCTTTTGCCTTTTTAGAACATTGTTGAATTGTGGTGAAATCATGATTTCCTTGCTGATTTGATTATTAGGCTCGCACTTCAAAAGACACTGCTAGGTTGTCAATTGAATTATTCTAAGCTTTCTTTTTATCCGTAAGAACAAAGTTATGGATACACCCCACTGAACTTCTGTAATCCAATATGCTACTCTCAATATTTTGCAGCGTCTAGTGTCGCTTTATTAACACAATCTTGTCACAGACCATCACTATAATCACTCAAAAACTACTGTATTTTACACTATTCTTTTTTTTCTCCCCAAAAACAATGTAGGTCTTGATAAAACGTTCATGATAAGATAATATACACAACCATCACAACAATAAAATGAAAGCAGGAAAGAACAGAGGAACAGAGTAAAGCCAGTGAAGATATTAAGATATGGAGTGGCGTCGATTTTTATTTGGTTTTGCACGACCTTTAGCCGAGGGTGTGACACCATCAGAACGTAGAAAAGGAGAAAGCCTTCCCAGCTTTTTGGACACTGAATTTATGAATGATTTCCGAGGCAAAGGAGGCTTATCAGCAGAAGAAGGTGAAGCACCGATCACAGGACTGCTAGCTGCTGATGATTTCATTGTTGCAGACTTCTCAATCTCTTTTAGTCTCATTTTGAGCTTCACTAGCTCTAATTTTAGGTCCTCGTTCTCTCTTCTTAAGCTGGATAGCTCATTCGAAACTGGGTGGAGATCGGCTGAGTACACATTCAGCTTGGAGGGTACTGAAGGAGCTGATTCCTCACCTTCACCGCCATTCATGGCGTCCCGAAGACGTTGCTGTTCATAGTAGAGCACTTGAACTACAGTTTGGACAGGAAGCCGATCATTTTGTGCAGCATGAGCACATGCCTCTCTTGATAACTTTTGACAGTCCATCAGACTGCAAACTTTCTTCTTTTCCATGTCATTTAGGTCAGGATGAGCCTATAAGAATTGCCATTTTCAAATGCTAACTTTGTCAACAGCTATTCATAAAACCGCAGATTAGAAATCATGTTAGAATCAAAATCTTGAATCTAAAAACAATATTCTTTTCATTTGTGCATAATGAAATCTAAATGTCAATTCACTGAGCTGAAAGAATTTTCCCCAAGAGACAGGTAGATTTGTTTGTGGAGAAAAAAAAAAGTCCTCCTTTAAATCACAAAAACTTGATTGCAATTCTATAGATGTTAGCCATTAAATTCTCCAATTAAAACAGAATCAACACCAGATTCTTGACTTCGGCAAGTTTTGTCCTAAGCATATCCAAAGGAGGGAAACGAATAATTATCTGATAGAAAATGTGAATAGTGATTAGAAACTTCACCTTTAGATAGATGTCTATGGCTCTATACATGCCATCTTCTGTTGGCCTCGATTTTTCAGGGATTAGTTCTGCAAGACTGATGAAATTTGGAACAGGTAGATTACGGTCAGTGGCTATTTCTGCGAGATAGTTTTCCATTAATTTCCCAACCCGTTCCATATCAGTCTGCGGAGGAGAAAAATACTCATTATCTGCACTGAAGACGGAGTGGCTCATCGTCTCGGATTCAAGGTAATTCATCATGATTCTCTGCACAGTATCCACATCGAACAACGTGTCCCCGGTAAATGAATAGGAAGGGATAAGAAGATCATCTAAAACAGCTTGTCCTAACTGCACAGACATCCTCTTCTCCAAGTCAAGCCTGCAAGCAACGGTCGTTTCAAGATATATTGCTGCTCTGAGCAGCATAGAAAGAAAGCTCACTGACATTGCATTCTTCTCCTTTGGCAAAAGACTCACTATTGTCTCCAAAACAACTCTCTTCTCGTGCTCTTGTCTTGGCTCAATCTTCTTCCTTCCCTTCCCAAATATTTCCTGTACCCAAAAAAATGAAGAGGAAAAAAAAAAAGCTCAGGATTCAGACCATCATTTCATCCTCAGGAAAACCATGATTTGATCCTTGATAGATAGGTCTACTTTCAATTTCTTCTCTCATAGATCATATATTTCAATCTAATCCTTCGATCATTGTTAACATTGCTTTCAACTCAACATATTACTAACTCAAAGTCACCAATACAAGGCGATGGTCTTAAAGTCCTAGCTAGATTTTAATGATTGAGTGATTAAATTAAAAGAAACATTGGTGAAGATGGGAATTAAATATACTTAAGAGACAAAAGCAGGGTTTTCCTCTATCATCATGCTGAATTGGAACATTTTGAACAATTTAGTGAGGGATCTCACCAAACCTCGTAGGGACTTCTGAGCATAGAGCATTAAAATAGGACCAATAGCATACTGCTTAAACCCTCTGGCCATCATGGCGATCAGAACTCTTTGGAAAATATCAATTCTGAGTACTGTAAGATCCTCAGCCCACCAGTCAACTATGGGCCTCTGGTGAGACCCGAGGGAAGAAACTACTCCCTCAGTTCCACCATCAGCTCTTGTAGCACAAAACTGGCTTTCCTTGCAGGCTATATATGCTATAGCATCTATACATCTGCTTACCAACTTCGCTTTCTCTGCTATAGGAAGGAGGCTCTCTGACAAGTGTAAGATAGATACAGCTCCTGCAAGGCTCTTAAGGGCCACTTCATTCAAATAAGCATCTGTTCTTGCCACTAAGTTTCCAACTGAATAATCCTCCGTCATCTCCAGATACTCTGCTACGCAGCGAAGCATCGCAATATTATCTATGCTTATTTCAAAGTTTATCCCATAGCAGAATTTAGCTGCCAGCTCAAATGCTTCTGATCCACCAGGAACGTCATGGAGTTCGACGAGGGAAACATCAGCTTCACTAGATTCTGATACCAGTTTCCTAATGTATCCACACTTTGACACTAATGGAAACTGCAATTACAGCACAGGATGTATAAACTAATTCAGTTTTATTGATCCTCAGAGTTACAAGAGCTAACAATTAATATTAATAATATTGGTTTGTACCTTATGCAATTGAAAAGAAGCCGTTCCAACTTCAATGGTAACATCACTAGGAATCTCCTGGGAGAAAATCCTTTAACAAGTTCGAGATACGAGTCTCAGAAATTCTCGTTATATCAAGAACAGTTAACAACGAGAATGTACGTTGAAGGAGAAATTTTGAAGAAGACTGAGGATTCAGAAACATACCAGTCACTTGTTCTCTTCATGGCGGTAGAAAGAAGCTGTTTTCTTTTCAGAGACGCTTCAACAGTATCAGTTGTAGTTTTCTCTTGATCACGATCCACCATGGCAGAGATAGATTCTTCCCTGCTCACCACAGTCTCTCTACAGTACGGTTTGGTGGTGAAACAGAAAAGCGAGAGAAAAGGTTCGAGTCAGAAAAGCTCAAGGTCATCTTTTGGTATTTAAATTTCCCTCACAATATATATACAGAGAAAATGGGCACTGTGCAAGTGTTCAAACTGAAACGCAGAACTGAAGGAATAATGGGGAATAACGAATGATGGAGCCCGAAGCTCAAGTCAATTTCGAAGCTCAAGTCAATAGGGTCTGAAATGCAGCGCGTGAGAAGGAAGGGATGTAGGAGGGGTAATTTGGAAATTAGAGGAAGGAGGGGAGGGGTAAAAATGGAAGAGTGAGGAAGGAGTGTGTGCCTGTGTGGTGTGTGGGGGTTGTGAGAGATTACAGGGATGAGATTAGAGAGTTGGAGGGGAAAGGATGAGATGGCTGAAATGTTGATTGGCTTCTAGCTGAGTCTGTTTCCACGTGGGAACTCCAAACTTTCCCGTCCACAAAGCTCAAAGCTCTCTCCTTTTTCCTTTTCTTTGAGCTCTTCGTTAGTTCAGTCCAAAAAAAGGAAGCCTCTTCATAATTGTGTTATGGTGTCCCAAACTCTGCTTTTAGATAAGGCAACAATTTAGGAAATATCTTTCACTCTTTTAATTAGGAATTACTTGACAATATATATGCGAAATTTACTTACCATTTGTTATTTACTTTTATTTATTTTGTATCTTCCTCTCAATTAAAAATTATGTAATAAATATAATAATTTAGATCTTTGAAGTTTAGACTGAAATGGGATTTCATAATGGGGCAAGCCCAATTAATATCAACGTAAAATAGAAAAGATGTAGGTGTATGCAAATCATAAACAGTCATATTGTGTCTTATACTAGATTACTAATAAATGCGCGAGCCAACAACCAATTTAGGTAAAATAAAACAATGCAAATAATTTAAAGTTGTATGAAATTTTGAAGTTAAATTACGCTGGTGGTATTATTGAACTTCACTTGATTTTTAATTTAGTGATTATCATTTAAGATATTAAAATTTCATTTTACAGTTTTGACAAATATATAACTTGATTATTAATCTTATATCATATCTTTATTTTTAATCAGGATAAAAGTGCGTCTAATGCCTAATTTTATTTATGATGCATGATTTTTTTAATCCAGTATCCTAATATTATTTATAGCGCATTTAGCATTCTAAAAGTTAGGATGCTAAATATAAATAAAATATTAACATCATGGTGCTGAATGTAATTAAAAAAATAATATTAATATACTAAATGTGTTAGAAAAATAACATAAGAGTAAAAATAACATCAATATGCATCTCTACCCTTTTAATCTTTCAATTACTGTATGGAGCCTATTGACGTGGGTGTGACTATTCAAAAGTCTTCATGTTATCGGTTAGGGAAACAACTATTAGAACGAAGCAATAAAATCCAACCAGGGCCATGCATGAAAATTGTGCCACGTTCATCCATCAATCAATATTTAATATGATAAAAAAATAAAAAAAATATGTTTATAAATAGTAGAAGTTATTCTAAACTTCATATAGTCCATAGTACAAACTTTTTTGTTGTTGTTTGGTTAACACCATAGTACCAAACTAATATATGCTAATAATATCATTATATGGGTTCCCATTTAATTTATACATGTACACGTAATTATACATACGCATCACATAAAATATATAAAAAGAACCCTGTTAATATTATTGATAGAATATCAATAAGTTAACATAAACATTCATTCTATTTTTAAAATTCACACTTCAGTTATAATATTAAAATCATTAAAAAAAATGTTTTGTTAAAAGGTTTAAAATGTATTTTTTATTAATTGAAATTTATATGTAAAGAATCAGTATTCTTCCTTCATGGTCTAATTAATTATATACTCCCTTTCCAATTAAAATAGTTTTAAATAGCTAACGAGTGGGTGCTTCCATTTTATAAATTACAATGTAAAATTGTATGTGTAACGGTTGGTCTGTGTGATGAATGATGATCCCACAGTTATCGGTGTGTCCCAATATGAACTCAATATTGCTTCCTCTTGTACACATCAACCACACCGTCTCGTATCGTCCCTTTACAAATTAAATTTCGTTGTTAAGGGTCCCCTAGTGAGTGAAGATTATTCACCCACAATATGCTTATGTATACATTCATATTTCTGTTCTGAGATCGATACGGCTACACTTCTATCTTACTTGACTTCTAAATAAAGCTAGGCCCCAGTGAAGCATTCAAATAATGTGATGTTTCGATTAGCTTTTTAAAAGTGATTTTTTGATATATGAGATAAGTATATTAAAAAAATTTTGTTTTAGTTTGCATGAAAGCACTTTTTTTTTTAAAGTGCATTTTGTATTTCTTAAACACCTGCTAAATTCTTAGACGGAATTAACATTTAACAACAGTAACCTTTTTCTCGGTTTCAACGCTGGCTATGAAAGTGAGGGACGATACATAGTGTCGTCTTGAATCAATAATTGAAAAACTCCAACATATACGTCTAATCCAATAGGCAGAGAATGACAAAGGCTGTGTTTGGGTGACACTCCAAATTATAGTTTGAGGAATAAATCACCCAAACACCCATCCAAAAACCAAAACTATGGTTTTGAAAAAAGCAAAAAATTTTTGCTTTTGGAGAAAAAAGGGAGAGTGTGAGAGCTATGTATCTTGTTATTTTTTTATAAACATATTTAATCTTATATTTTATAAATATATATATTAATTATTTATTAATTATATTATCTTATGTATTATTAATTATGTTAATAAAAAATATATTATTAACAATTTTATTCCTTCAAATTAAAATATATCATAAAATCTATTTTTCTGTAATTATCATATTAACTTATGCCTTTTTTTAGTACTTTGTATATATAAAAAGTGCTTCTGATAACAACTATCCAAACACTCTTACTTCTCAAAATCACTTTTTCATAAAATCTATTCTTCCCAGAATCTATTCTCCAGAATCACTTTTCCAAACCACGGTTTGGTTTCATCCAAACACACCCAAAAGAGATTCCAAAAGGAAATTCACCCAAATTAGACGGATGATTAGCCTCAATAATGTAATTAAACATCATATAACTCAATCTTTAGTAGTCATAATACGCAGCTATTTATCCAAGCTAAAAGAATTGGATTCCTTTTAAATCAGAGGTCGTCGTGAAGCTAGGGGGAAAGAAGTGGGAGGACACAAGCATGTTAGGCTAATATATAGGCAGGTACTTGAGGAGTATTGAAATGTCAAAGCTGCAATAGATCGAAGGCCCAGTTCTGTGGAAAATAATATCCACAGACATGTGATGTGGTGGCTCTTAAATCCATGTGATTGTCCTCTTCTCTTGGACCGTATGACCAACACTGCCTTGCTCCAAAGTTAGGGTACTTATTGTTCCAGGATGAAATTATGTGGAGAACGGGAAATCAAAGGAAGAAGGGACACCAGGGAAACTGTTTGTCCCCGTGGCACATGGGGTTTTCTATCTAGTGTTTTACTTTTTTGAAACAGATAAGGTCTTATTAATTGCCAGTAGAATTTTGAGAAAGAATAAAGGTCCCATTTGATGCAAAGAATTGCAAATAAAAGATAGGGATTAAAATTGTAATTGAAAAAAATCACTAAAAAATATTTAACATTAATAATTGTTTGTCATACGAGATTAGGCAAACTCATTAAGATGAGATTTTCTCTATGATATTCCCCAATCCCACATATATGAGTTTGTCTAATCCCATGTAACAAGTAATTTCTTGTGCTAAACTCTTTTTTAATAATTTTTTTTAATTCTAATTCTTGTCTCTATACCTCATTTTTAATGCTTCATACCAAACATAACCAAAAAGACACATTCGTTCATATTTATTTTTTAATATATATATCTCAAGAATTAGATCTGGAGAGATTTTAAGTTGTCTCTAGACCTGGATTTTTTTAATTGTTGTTTCGCATTAATTAACTTGTGAACGTAGTAGCTGTTTTTTATTTCACCTATGATCTTCAAGTTTTGCCCTCGCTTGCATCTGTTCTCTCCCCACCCACAAGTTTTTTCCCCCTGTATATGTTCCTCTCTCTGGAATCTGGACACTTGAAGCCCAGCCAAATTCAGCACTCTAAGCTCTGGTCAGCAAGACAGCAATTGCCACAAGAGGCAATTTTCCATAATACTGTAAGCAGTAAAAATAATTACCTAAATACTACACTATGAAAACTATTTACCTATATGCTATATTTTTTAAAAGTTGTTCATGCCGATATGAACTTTCACTCTGCTTTTTTTTTTTTTTAAATGAAAAAATGAAAGTTGTTCAGGTCAAGAACAACTTCAACCATCTCCATTTTCATTTTTGGAGAAAATTACAACTGAAACCCAATTTCATCAGTTAAAGTTGTGGAGCAAATTACAGTTAAGATCCCATCTCATCATATCTATTCCTCATCTTCTTTTACTCTACATCTTCTCCTAAATAGAATAAATATGAGCAGATTTTGTAGAAAAATTGCTTTGTATCTTGGTACTTAAATTTAGAAGAAAATATATAAATAAATTAAATAAACAAATATTTAAAACTTAACATGTTCACAAATTGTATCTTATGTTCTCAATTCTGCTGCTCTTGACATGTTTCTAGTCTCTTTCGGCATGTTGTCACAGTTTCCTTATGTTGGTGCATGAAGAGAAGCAATCGTAGTCATGAAGCTCATCTTTTAACCCCACCCACCCCCCCCCCCCAAAAAAAAAAGAAAGCACTTTAATCCACTCAACAGTTTTAAAATTTTAACTTTTTTTTCGTAATTTTGTTTTGCTATTTTTTCTCTCCAAGTTTAGCTTTGCTAACAATTTGCTGTCATATCCGTGCACGTCCTGTAGGCGCACCCGTTTCTCTCAGGTAAGAGCCGCAGAATTGAGAACACAATAACTCGATCATTTTTTATGGGCCAACAACTTGGTTTTTTTTTTTTTAATATCTTCTTGTTAGAGACAATCTTATTAAAAATATTATTAATTACTAAATATAAACACCTCTCCGGTGATAATTTAACCTTTAGTTCATTATGTTGTAACTTGTGAAGAACTAGTCTCTAAACCCGTTTCCATTGATAACTTGGTCATATTTGAATCAATAACCGGGGTTCATATGTGGACTCATGACCGGAGACTGAGTTTAGACATATGGGGTTGTAATTTCATGTACATTGATGTTTTGGTTTGCATATCCTACATATAAGCTACAATTGAATACGATTTTCCACCATCTTACCTTTCATTTTCAGACAATTTAAAGGAACCCGCACATATATCTGTTTAGTGAGGAGATGCAAATCACTCCCTTGAATCAACAAGCTCTTCATACCCTATTTTACCGTTAAGCGTGAAGATGTCGAAGTAGCGTGACTCCACTTGATTGTCGGTAAGGTTGTTTCTTATAAACATAATTCCTTTGGATGTCTCATTTTCTGTGGATGCCGTAGACATAACACATTCACACATTTGTCCATAACCAATCAGAGTGATATCCCTTTTGCCATTGCCTTATTCTATCAGTTGTTTAGGACAAGATAGGAATTCTCGGACGGGTGATTGAGGGGAACAAGTTACTCCAAATAGGCTAGAGTGTTCTGGCAGACATTAGAATTTTACTTAATTAGTAGTTTTGCAGTCTATAGGCTTTAGTTGTGTTGTTATTCCGAATGAATTGTCGACAACTTTCGAAAATAGCTAGCGTCTGAAGCAAGCGAAGATCGACTGGTGTCAAAATAGGATCATTCATATCGAGGGGAGCATCATTATTAGTTTACTTCCATATTATCACTTATTTTATGCTCTTCAATTTTTTTTGCATGATTTGTGTAACATCGGTGCACACAGAGAATAAAAATACGAGGCCAAAATAGCCGTTTCTGATTCAGACATGGGATAAATCAGAATGCATGTTTTCCAAGGAACACCAGTATCATTAAGCAGTATTTCAAGGTTTCTTTCACTTTATCAAGGGGACGAAAGGCCTCCATAGTCCCCGCAATATGCACCTACACAGAAGACAAATTAATATAACACAAACAGAACTCAAGAAATATACTTATGTAGATTGCGGAAAAGGCCACAGGGATATCAACAGGTCTCCACAAACTCTCCCCAGAATAGTTCACTTCTTAAGATGGGGAAAACAAGCATAGAGGTCAGATTTAGGGTGCTTAGCCTCAGCATGCTCCCTGCACTTCACCTCTGATGTGGTGCACATAAATGTTTGCATACACACCTTGCACTGCAATTATCAATCACAATTGTTAAACTGTGATCAAATGTTCAATATGCCAAAAAGATTCTAAATTTCCAGCAATAATCTGAAGAAATGTCTTATAAAATGCGTTTATTGATTCAACCGTGCCATTCTGCACTGCTGTGTTCCTTTGCCACTAGTGTTGTTTCCCTCCCATTTCCTTTCACACTCTCATAAGAGTAAACAGAAATACATTAGAATTTCCATCCCTTGTTTGGAGGGTTAAAATTACAAGTACCATTATATTACTCCCTCTAAACTCAAAAGAAAGAGCCGGGAAAATGGATTGCTTGAGAAAATCATTTGAGACAGGATAAAGTAATTGGAATGAATAATAAGGCAAACAAGATCCCCTCTAAACTCATAATTTCAGCCAAAAAAAAAAAGAAAAAAGAATCAACTACTCAATAAACACTTCAGCATTTTAGGCATGTAACTACAGAATGAACATTGCAGACATATAAAACGCTTATACAGCATAGCAATTTTAAGATACACATTGAATTCAAGCATTAGGCTGTTTCAGTCACGTTGGACAAGCACGATAAGCAGGAAATAGGGTTTTAATTTCCCATACCAGCCACGACAATATTAACAATCCAAGTTCATCATTGTTCAGACTTCAGAGTACAAGAATCCATATATGTAGTTCGGTTTACAAGGAGAAAAATGAAATCAAAGAACACGAAGTTCTAAGATTTATGAGTTTTCGTCTTAGGATGTAAATTATAAACACCAAATTACCTGGATCGTCATCGCTTTCTTGTTTGTCTCCAGCTGGCTTCCTACGCGTGAGAATCAGATTATTAAAATTAAGAAGTAAAACCATAAGATCTTTTTCTTGTAGTCACATTCCAATTCCAATTTCATAATACAGAAATAGGGGATTTCGCATAATTTCGAACAAAAGGGGCCGAAATAAACTATCCGTTTAGTTCGCTAATTAAATTTAAATTTTGATTCGCCTTCTAATCTTGTTGCAGAAATTCTCAGCAACCAAAAAGAACATGATTGAAAATTATCGAGTTCGAGGGAGGGAAATGAAAGATCACCTTTCGAAGCCTTCATCTTCTCCATGTTCTTCTCACGAGCCATCTTTGCCTTTTGCCCGTTGCCCCCTCCCATGTCTTGAAGCAAAGGATCAGACCTTGAAAACCCTAATGAGTCAAGATCAACGATAGGAAAGGGTATTGAATCCGGAAGGAGAAGCTGAAGGAGCAAGCGAGTTCGGATTTATGGCTAATGGCGCAACCCTAATGATTCTTCGGATCCCTTTTTTCACTGGAAATATTTTTCCGGACTTTAAATAGACAGGAAAAATGATATAAAAAGAATTTAGAAATTACAATATTCTACTTGCACCTATTAAAATCCTAAAGAAGAGAGTGATACCTAATCTGCTATTTATAAACTAGATTTCTCCCCGTGCGTTGCACGGGAAGTGATATTCTGAGAAGTATCAACCATAAAAGCAATTGAAAATGGAAAAGTATGAATTGAAGCATGAGGTAATATTCACATTTTGTAAAATCGAAAAAGATTTAAAGTCATAATGAAAGAAATTAAGATAACAAACAACAATAACTTCATCCTGTCACTATAGCGTCTCTTTTAAAATCAAAGAGTAATAATTTTGACACAGGCAGTGGAGGTTTAATCACCCAATAAAAAAGGACACATGGCGACCCAATCAGCGACCATATTTGCTTTCCTGTGAATCAATCCATTGAATAAGATAATTTGTAATTTGATTTTTCATATGTAGAATATCTATTGTTTGAAAGTTTTAATGTAATGAATTGCGTCATAGGTTAGGAAATAAATGAAGAACCTTTTTTTTAATCATTAACAACAAAGGTAAGGAAAGTAGTTTGATCAACTTGGGAGAAAGCACTATTCACATTAGTTTCTAAAAATTCTTAGTAGGTGTCATTGACTTACACTTAGGTTGAGATACATGACTGGTAGTGGAATAGTGTCATCTCCAGCTGATCATCTTGGACAGATGTTGTAGCCATCACTGTAGAAATATGCAGAAGAAATTAATGAATGTAAGATATAAAGTACATAATTTCAATCAAGTAGAAAGGCATTTAGAGTTAACAATGAATCACATGTATGGGATAAATTACCAATGAGCTTCAGACAATGTTTTGAAATATTTCTCTATAGACCACATTCATCGTCTTGTTGGTTGGCTTTTTCTCTGAATCAAGTATCAGAATTTTGATGCCATCCATAGATCTAACTCTTGACAGAGCAACATATAACTGGCCATGTGTGAAGACAGGTCTAGGAAGGTATAGGCCAACATTGGTCATTGATTGTCCTTGACTCTTGTTGATTGTCATAGCAAATGATAGGATGATGGGAAATTGCCTTCTTATCAATGTGAATGGTAGTTTAGATTCTGATGGATTCATATCCATTCGATGGATCAAAACTTCTTGACCTTGACTTGTGCCATTGAGAGCGATTGCTTTAATAAAGTGTTTACCAAGAAATGTGATCCTCAGTCTTGTGCCATTACAGAGTCCTGCAGCCTGATCTATATTTCTCATGAGCATTATAGGAACTCCTACTTTCAAGGCAAGTCTATGTGGAGGTAAGCCAGAGCATTTTATTGTGTTCAAGAATTCTGTTGTATACAACTCTTGGAATGAGGTGTTGCCTTGATCAACAGTACTAACAGAATCAGAGGTAAAAATTCAACAACTTCAGTAGGTAGTAAGGAACACATATAATCGTTAATTTGCTCAACAACTTCAATTGTTGGTGCCAGAATAGCTCTATTAGTTAGATATGTTGAATCAGTCAAATGATCTAATAGATCAGGATATGTGGCATGCACGATTGATTGAAGATGATCATGAGAATCTAGAATTAGAAGATCATTTGGGATTTCTATCTCTGCCATGCCATCATGAGGCAATCCAATCTGGCCATCACCGATGTCTAAAAGCCAATTTGAAAATTGTTGTAACCTTGAATCATATGTGGATGAACTTGTAGATAACCGCATGTTTTTTGTAAGTTGGAATAACTTGCAATGACACCATAAATGAGAAAAGTTGATGCATGAATTGATGACATCCGCACGACTACCTTTCGGGATCACAGGCAATATTTGTCGGAAGTCTCCTCCCATGACAATACATTTGCCTCCAAAGGGATGGTTGCACTTCATAATATCTTTAAAGGTCCGATCAACAGCTTCTATACAAAAACGTTTGACCATTGGAGCTTCGTCCCAAATAATCAACTTTGCGAATTTGATGAGGTCGCACAATGGTGAATTTTGTGATATGTTACATGTGGAGTCTTCATTAATATCAATTGGAATTGCTAATCTTGAATGTGCAGTTCTACCTGATGGTAATAAGGTTGCAGCTATTCCACTGGATGCCACATTGATCACTATTCCACCTTGAGCTCTAACTGATGCAGTGAGTGCTTTCCATAAGAAAGTTTTTCCTGTACCACCAAAACCATACACAAAAAAGAACTCATCATTTGGATGGTTCATTGCATTCATTACTTGCTGGAATATAGTATTCTGCTCATCTGTCAGTAATGCTACCAATCTATCCGCTTCTCTCTGACACATATCTCTGTCAAAGTTTAATTCTTGAAGGACCAAATGATTCCTGATATCAAAATACTCGGTAGATATTGCCGTTGGCATTAATGGGTAATCATGGAGAGATTTGCCATTTATCTGTAGCAACTTCTCAATCTCAATCAAGCATGCCTGTTGCTTGTCATCATCACTTATGTTTAAATCTGTTTCATTCAATCAATAGTAATGTTATAAATTGAAGAAGACAAAACAAACTTTATGTTTATGAAAATTGCATAGAAGTATTTTGTAGTTGAATTTACCTGCAGACCTAGGGTTATTTCGAGGTACGTAGAACATGTCCTCAGATAAGAGATTTTTTGTTTGTTCCCATATCAGGTGTGGTTGTGATATGCAATGACATAGTAGCATGGACACAAAGAATCTCCTGAGATAACATCCTGTAGCCCAAAATGATGCTTCCTTTATCGCGTCAATGAACTCTTGATCATCATGAATTAATCCAAGAGCATAGCAAGCAGATCGAAAAGTTGGGTAGACAACATTATCTACAGTTCTTATCTGTTCATAACTGCGAGGTCCCTTTACTTTTGTCAATAGTACTCTAAGGTAGTATATTTCACCTTGAGAGGGCGATGCATGTGCTAACCTCCCAACCGCAAATCCCTTTTCTCTAAACTTCCAAATTCTTTTTTGCTTGTTAAAAGTATAATATTGTGGAAACTCAACATATGTCAAAGTCCTGGCAAATGGATCATCTAAATTTCGTTCCATCCATGCAAGAAACATTGATTCCTTAATTCTGGGTCTGTGAACTAATGAGCTAACTGATTCCTTGTCTGAATAGAAAACAGCCTGTTGATCCTGTAAGTGAAAACTCAAGCGCTCTACAGAGGGATATCTATGATGGATATCAAATGAAAAAATACGCCATGCACCTTCACAGGAAGAAATGTACCTGCAGTTCAAATAATGAGAGATCTCGTCGAAACCATTGTTTCCATTGTCATAGTGATCATTGTTGTATATGCCAGCAACAACTCGATCGTTTCCTTTACTAACATACTTGAACAAATATTTTATTGCAGTTGATTGATTTGTTTTCTCAACATTAATGTGGGCATGAAATAGCTTCAGCAAAGTCGCATTGTAAGGAACAACATATCTATTATCCAATGGAATACCCTTCCTATTAACAGTCTTTCCATCGTTTCTTCTCCTATATGTAGGGTAACCCTCCTCGTCTATCGAGGTTTGGTTAACAAATTTTTTGGGAAAGTACTTAGAGCATTTCCCATTTTTCATGCAAGGAGATCTCTTGTTAGAAGCTCCACACGGTCCATGGATCATGTAATTGCTGACAAGATCATATAGTAATGGATCTCTCTCTTTATCTGGTATTTCTGCAGATATCATTTTGTCTACATCATCAGGAGTGTTTGGTTTGTCAGAAGGATCTAGAAATAGAATAATATGAGCATGTGGCAAACCTCTCTTCTGAAATTCAATAGTATAAATTTCTGCAGGAGGAAAACGTAATTATTATTTAATGTTTAAGAAAGTCATTTTGTCATATCACAATTTGGTTAGGCGACTCAACTAAAAGCATAATTTTGTGTATAATGACTGAAAGTATGCATGCAAATTTTAAGTATATTTATGCATGTTTGTATAATGCATTTAAATGTTACTTTATTCTACTTAGTCAAAAGTTATTCTACCTTGATAAAAGTTGGGAAACAAATTCTACTGTGACAAACACATGATAAAATAATAAAAATAAAAGCTTAGAAAAAGTTTTTACGGTAACCCGCTACTTCCTAACTTGAATAAATAAAATAAACATAGTTCTTATGAATATATTTAAATTAAAAGTCAATATATTAACACAAGGAGAAAAAAGGCAATCTGCATTACTCAATATATAAAATGAGACGCATGATTTTAAGTAACAAAAGTATTGCAAACAGTATAGTGAGGACCAATTGCAATAGTAAATTTATTTATGAATTTCAATTAACTATGCTATGATAGTAGATTGGCAAAAATATATAGAAAATAACACACCGATAGGAGGATTAAATATTACCTGCTCTTACTTTTCCAAAAAATTTTTGTTCCTTAATGATTTTCATTAACGCTTCAAGCTTCAACTTGAATATTCTGCATAATATGTCTGGTCGATCAGCTGGATTTAATTTATGCCTGTTGCAGAATCTCTTTACTTCTGGCCATGCTAGATTGCATGTGAAAGTTAAAAATAAGTCAGGATAACCAGTAAATTTGCATAGTGCCATTGCATCTTGATAGTTTTGTACCATATATCGGGCTCCCCCAGTAAATGAGGATGGAAGTATAATCCTTTTTCCTGTGCGAGATGGATCTGTCTCACCCCTGGTGAGTGCATTAGTGAGACCTCTGTACATGTCCACCCGTAGCTCTTTTTGATGATTACGGATATAATTGAGTCTTTCACTCTCTACCATTGTATATCCGTCAACAATGAATTGTTGAAGTAGCCTTTTGGAGTGTAGCAAAACAGACTGCTCATTATTTCTATCCATCAATCTAAAAGATAGGTACTCCCGTGGGGTTAGAGTCTTCCTCTTTTTAGTCTGAGTAAGAGTGGTTTCACTATGTTTAATGGTTGAATCATATCCATTATTTCCATAGTGAAAAATAATAGGATATTGCAGGGGAATGTATGCTTTGTGCAATTCATCAATTCTTTGCAACGCTCCAGCTCTTTTCTCAACAATTATGTCTCGTTTGAAATATGATCTATCAAAGTCTCCAACCAGTAAAGCAGCAACCTCAGATGCTGTTGGCATATCATAGACCCTATCACTGTGATCTGAATTCCTAATGAGACGAATATTGACATTAGAATGCTGGTCACGCTTGAGAATTTCAGATGCCATCCGATAACTAATGACAAGGCCATTGTGTTTGTCAAGACAATCCTTTATTTCTTGTGTAATTCCTTGATCAATTGCAGACCTATGACAATGCTTGCTGAACAGAAGAGTTAGTGTTGTTAGTAAGAACACAAATAATGTTTCACAAAAGAAGTCCCAATGTCTAAACAATGTTTAAGTAGCAATGATAACGGCAAACTGATTTTTCTTTTGAGAAAGTTAGTATCACATTTTATGGATCACTTATGCGGAGATAGTTCGGCCTTAATTTATTGGGACATTTAAATCTAAGGCAATATCAATAATAATTTCATTGCTTATTATTAATTCATGCGATGTTTTTTATATGTACAGTACAAATATTAAGGCTGACAAAGTATATTATTGATAAGGACTGCAATAATTTATTAGAAATTATGATTAGAAATTCAAGCTAATGATATAGACATTAAATAAAGTTATAAGTTGGTCATACCTGACAACGGATATTCTGTTAGATATTTCATTTTCAGTATCATATATATAGAGCTGAGAGTAGACTGGCTGAGATCCTTCAGGAGGTAGCAAGCTTCCTAGTAAGTGGTAATTCTGACCAGACATAACGAAAGAATAGGGACCTGCTCCAGTGTTATTAATAGAATGGTTTATCTTTCCACCCATTGAAGTGAAACAGAACATGTTATTGTATGCCCTTATATTTGACAAAAAACGCTTTGATTGTGGGTTATCTTTGTCAAAGAAAAGTTTACGAAATGTTTCTGGTGGAGGCTGCATAAGAGGAACCAATATTTTGCCATGGCAGCAACAAATAGAGAACAAAGGATATTCATTGGAAGGAGCTCTCTTAAGCCTTTCGTTAAACCACATCAAAGCACCACAATAATGGCACACATAATCTGCATCACCTTCATCAATATAGCCTTCTGTGGATAGATCGACGTTATCGTAATCATTTATATCTACGACGTCAACCTCACAATCTGAGTCACCATTCGCTTCATCTTCGTCTGCAAATTTAAAATAAAAAGAATTAATCCTCACATATGAATAATTTAGTGAGAGAAAGATACCCATAAATATATGAAATTATAACCTGCACCAACAGCATTATCAAGCTTGGGAGAAAGGTTAGTTGCTAAATTGGTAATGTTGCAAAGTCTGGAACAATTCACAGTAGCCGTGCTACCATTGTGTCTCAAATACGATAAATCTGCTGGCTGCTGAGTGTTTTGTTCAATTGTTCTGTCACAGATACCTGGATGTTGTGGTTTACTTACTCCTCCATAATCTGTGATATCTTTGGATGCAATCCTCGTTGAAGTTGTCATGGCTGAAGTGGAGCTTCCACGAAGTTGGGTAGAAAGTTTCGCTTGATAAGTAGGTGCAATATAGGCAGAGGTACTTCCGAAATGAGTGGATTGTTCTAACTGATCAGTGCTGTTGAGATAGCCATATATATTAGCATGACCACTTTGTCTTTTACCATGTGCAGATTCCGATATTCCTTCCATAACTGCTGAGGATACAGATTTCTTTCTTTTCGTTTGAATATAAATATCCACGGGAGAACTTTCAATGACATCATGGTGTTGTGCAGCATGAGTACTGCTTCCTGTAATTACAGAAAACGAAAGTATTTGTGAAATAAAAACAATACAGTAAAGCAAGGTCACTATGATGACTTTCAGGAGAGAGATGGATTGTCTAACCTTCAGGCCGAGACGCTGTAGTGCAACCAACATTCTTCCTTATCCTTCCCATGTATAGTGTTAAGATGAAAGAAGTACGTTCAAGTGTATTAATCAAGATATGAGAATAGGATATAAAAGACATGGAAAGGATGGAAATCAGAAAGTTACTTCGTTAGTTGACATTGGCGAAACGTCTTTCAATGCATGGGCAATATTGACTTCAATAGCCACAGGAGACAAGTTACTTATGGCGCACATGGGAAAAGTACTATAATACAATTTTGGATACACAGTAGGTTATTTTTCTGTTTGCCAACTGGGAACAACCCACGTCATTTAAAGGGTTATGAAGATTCGAGGTGCAATTAAAAGATGGGAGTCAGAAGGTCTGCTGAGCAGTATATAATACTTAAGTAACACTGGTTTTATTTTTTGTCGCCAGCATTTAATGTTTCTCGGAAAATGTTCAGGTGGGAATGTATTTATGAGTATTACCTCCCTAGAAATATTTAGTTGTAATTGATAGTTGATTAATTTATTCTATTTGACTCTTCAACTTACCCGTCACGGAACAAAAAGTTATTGTGTTCATTAACAATTTTGTTGATACATATGAAAGTATTTTTATTTTAATTTATGGAAGATGAAGTAAAATATAGACAATACAAGAGCGAGAATTGGCTGTGGAAAGGAAATAAGAAAATCAATAAATGCTTACAGTACGATTCATTTGGATGGTCCAATTCAAGTTTGTAAGCCAACAGTGTGAAATCCCTCGTCATCGAATTCATAAATTCCATGAAATGATTTATAGCATTAAAATCTTCACATTTATACTATTAATTATTTCCATTGAGTTTTGCGTGTGACGCGATTAAATATGCTATTAATTCATATATTTAAAATGCAATAAATAAGCATTTATTAGATTAATAGAAAGTGATTCACCAGGCATATATCACAATGGGTCCGTTTGGCGGGCTTTTGGGGGGTTAAAAGTAGCTTATTTGTAGTGTAAACTCGATTGGAAAAATCATGGTCCATTTTTTGGCTACGACGTTTATTGAAAATGAAAAATAATTTAAAATATGAATTGACAAAATATAATAATTTTAAATTTTAAATTATTATAATAAGGACAAATTATATTTAATGAATAAAATATATTTAAATTACAAATCATAGTAATGTGAAGATTTTTGAACCTAATAATATTACATAATTAATTAGATGCTATATTCTGCATAATTTATGTAAATGTAAAATAAAAAATAATATTAAAAATTAAAAATATTAAAATTATTTTTACTCAATAAAAATAAATAATTGAAAACTGATTCGGAAACACAAAAAGTATATAGAGATAAGCATAAGAATAATATAAACATAAGAGTAAAAATATCTTTTAATTCTAATAAGCTACTTTTGCGTAAGTTATAAGTAAGTTTTGGGTATTTTTACAATCGTACCTAGGAAAGCAGCTTTTGACACCTAGAAGTTATATTTTTTAAACAGGAAGTAAAAATAATTTTCAATCAAATGATGCAAACTATTTCGCAACTCCAGTTTAAAAAATTGAAAGTTTAGTAAGCCTGATGCAACTATGACCATAAAGTGTGGAAATTCCTATAAAAAGGTGACAAAATATTTGAAATTAAAACACGATTAGATAGCAACTATAACAATGAAATGGTAGATTGATATCAATAAACATCTTCCAACGAAGACTCATGAACACTTAATTGATTTAGTATCACAAAACACGTCCAAAAAATGCAGTCCGGATGAAACTCAAAGCGAACATTTTTGCCAAAAAAATTAAAGCCAAATTTAATACAATTTAAAAGTCCAGATGTTCCCAATTAAATTTTCAGATATAGCTAGTCATTTCTCCTTCTTGATCTTCTTTGCCGGTTTGGTGCTGCTGAAGCTTGGAGGGGACCCTTCGGAGAGGCCTATATCATCAAGTTGTTCTGATTCATTTTTCCCGTTCCTCTTTTTCTTTGACAAGGTCTCCACAGGTGTGATTATCTGAGATATTGTAAGATCATCATCATCATCCGCAATGTTGTGAGTGCCAAGCATCTTGGGAGATGAGTATGAGGAAGATGACTCGATTGGTGAATTCTGTCCAGTAGAATAGTGGGAAGAGAATTAAGGGTATTTTTGAAAAATGTGATGGAGAATGATGATGGTATGGTAAAATAATTGAACGAACTATTAAGAATGACGCCGGAAAATATGCTATGACATGTAGAATTTAATAATCCAATTAAAATAGATTATAGTCTCCTGACCTTGACATTAGCGTTGGCATCAGCGCTGACATTAGAGTATGTGAACTGATCCAAAATATCCTTTTTCACAGAGAACTGTGACACTCCCATACTACTGGCAGGATATTTTATGTTGTTTTCCTTAACCTTGACCATTACGACAATTTCCTTTCCAACAGGTCGATCTAACTCTTTTGGAAAAGATCGAGACGACCCCACCTGATATCATAATTTATCAACAAAATAATTCAAATGACAGCAAGACAGTTTAGACTAAGAATGACAACATCCAAAGGTATAAACCCATGATACCTTCTTCTTAAGTTCAGAAGCTGAACATTCTAATAGAGCAGATGCATGCCGGTTGAAGAAAAGCATCGAACATTGTCCAGTGGAATCAAATACTTTGTAATGGACTTTGAACCTTTTACAAATGAACAACTAATTATATAAACGATGGAGATGAAGTATGGACTTCAATGACAATGAATAACTTTATACGTACTTGGGTTCAGTCTTAAGCACTTCTTGATTACAAGAAGTACACTTCATCAATTTATCATCAACATGCACTGGTTTTTTATCGCATGGACATCCATCATAGGTCCAACCATACTCACTCTCAACTTTCTGGATGGTGACCTTGGTGACAATTTGACTTTCCTATTTAGGTAGAAAATAAATTTATAATTAAATTTAATATATAGGTGTATGATTAATGACTAATTTGGTGAATGTGATATATATGTGATTAACTGAAGAGACAATAATTATCTGAATTATAATGGCAAGACTATATTAATTCGTGATGTCTAAATGTGTGACAAATTGAAAGAAAAGGATAATATCAACCTTTGTGAGTTTGGAAATTTCAGAAAGGGGAATTCTGGTTGGGAAAGTCAGGAGTGAGTTACTGGTAGCATCAAGCATTACGGTAGATGAAACTTGTGAGAAGTTCTGACTTGCTCCAGGTGTCTCACCGAGTCTGTAGACATATTCAGATTTATAATGAATACTAACATTTGTCAAACAGTTGCATAATTTAGATATAAAAAGCGACAAAGACAATCAACGTAAGAGTAAACCTGGCAATTAATTCTCTGACTTCAGGGAGGTCTGGATTGAACAAAACTCTTGTAGCATGGAAAGCATTAGTTATATGTCCGTAACCTTAAATAAATACAGGGAGGTAAGTACAGAATATAACATCCAAATATAACTTGAAGTCATTATTTTCGCAATAAGCAAATACCTTTAGTTGTTGATATCCTTGCAAATCGGATGACAACTACAGTAGGAACTTCCAAATCATCAGTCCTAGCTTCAAATGCATTGATTGCCACATCTCCGAAAAGAGCCACGTTAATGGGGATTTGGCTGCATTAAATTAAGGTCTAATAAAAAATGAACTGAACAACGAAGCAGTAATGTATCTTATTATGAATGATTCAGAGGAGTTTGTGACTGAAGTGATGTTACTTATGATCAGCGATGGTGAAATTCAGTGTCTTTATGGTCTGTGAGTCTTTTTTGTGGTCAACCAAGTTTCCAAATGCTTGAAGGAACCCAATGACATCTGCAATTTTTTTTTCATACGATTAGAATAAAACATAAAGGAGTGAACAAACATGGGAAGGATATGATTACTAACCAATCAATTCATAATTTGTAGCATTATAGTCAGCAATATCCTTTATTGGAACAAAGTTAAATGCATTTAAAGGGACTGCTAAGTCATGCTTTTGGAAAAACGTCATGGAGTGGAAACGAATCTTCCAAGTGTGATGACAAAGTTTGAAAGCATCATTGTTGGGCACAGCTACAAAGTTCTCAAACTGATATACTTCACCCTCTGTTATTTCATCCATGTATCTCTGTAATTGTGCTTTCTGGGACATAAAAGCTTCAACTCTATACCCCTGCACGTTTTCATTACAATGAGAGCCACAGAAGACAAATAATATGAGAATCGAAAATAAAGTTCCATTTTTTGTCAAACCTGTTCATCAACTAAAATCATCCCTACTTTAAAAATATCAAAAGGCGGTGTCTTTTTAGCCATAATCCATTTTCTCAGCACTCTCGCAACAACACACCAGGTATCTTTAGAATCATCTACATCTTTGATGAGATCATGATCGAAGTTTGCCATTTGTTGCTGTGATGGTACTGACCTGCACAAATTAGTTGAAGGAGAGAAATGTTTGAGGGCCTAACATAAGGTAACGTTTGAAGGAAATAACTGTTTAACAGGAAGTAGATACCTTAAAAGTTAGGCTGTGGAGACCACGCAATGTACAGATCCCTGATAGATTGTATGGTAAATCAGCAGCCTCAGTTTGAATTGGATATCTGCTTATATAGAGAATAGATGTGTCTATTAGCATGGTTGATAATATAACCAACTATAATGAATGATCATATGCTTAGAGCCGGCCTCTAGCAGTCTCGTTATGCAAACATGCGCACTGACATCGAAGAGGCAAATGCTGATTGAAGTATCCAATGCATTAAAGGATATAGAAGGGGAATCAGTAAATGTATAAATAAATATATCTACTGGAAATCTGAAATGGCCCTGCATTTTTTTTTGATAAATAATCTAAAGTCATTAAAAATTAATCAATTATATGAAAAGTAATTATATAGATAACAACCCACGTCATTTAAAGGGTTAAGAAGATTCGAGGTGCAATTAAAAGATGGGAGTCAGGAGGTCTGCTGACCAGTATATAATAATAAGAAAGAAATATTTAAGTAACATTGGTCTTTTTTTTATCGCCAGCATTTAATCTTTCTCGAAAAAGGTTCAGGTGGGGATGTATTTATGAGTATTACCTCCCTAGAAATATTCAATATATATTAGATATATATTTAGTTCTAATTGATAGTTGATTAATTTATTCTATTTGACTCTTCAACTTACCCGTCACGGAATAAAATTTTCGTTTGATTCAATATATATTAGATATCAAGGTCGGAAAATATATATTAGATATATTATTTGATATAAGCCCCATTTTATAGAAGATTCAAGGTGCAATTAAAAGATGGGAGTCAGGAGGTCTGCTGACCAGTATATAATAATAAGAAAGAAATATTTAAGTAACATTGGTCTTTTTTTTATCGCCAGCATTTAATCTTTCTCGAAAAAGGTTCAGGTGGGGATGTATTTATGAGTATTACCTCCCTAGAAATATTCAATATATATTAGATATATATTTAGTTCTAATTGATAGTTGATTAATTTATTCTATTTGACTCTTCAACTTACCCGTCACGGAATAAAATTTTCGTTTGATTCAATATATATTAGATATCAAGGTCGGAAAATATATATTAGATATATTATTTGATATAAGCCCCATTTTATATTTTTATTATGAGTACAAAAGAAAATCATATTATTATTTAAACGTCCATACATCTAAGCATTTAAAAAAAAAAGAAACTTTGCAGAGTAATTAATGAGATCTGGAAAAGTAGACGTCTCGAAAGATAAGCCACAAGGACTGTTGAAGGTATGATAGTCCAGCAATCATGGAAAACAGTGCAACCTCCATGAGCAACCAATCACAGTATAATGCAATAATTACAATACTTGAAAGGTAGGCGAGTAAATAGACGTAGAAAATGTAAAACAAATGACTGAAATGAAACGCATTGCAAATCAACAAAAATCCTAGCAGAACATAAGAAGATGATATTATGTGGTCCCATCCACGGTGGACGAATGGACTATTTGCTGAGGTGCACCAATCAGAATCTGTGTACGAGTTTTCTAGTTGATAAGTTGATGATAAGTTGATTGATATAATTAAATAATTAAAATATCTTTATATCAGATTTTTTTAAAAAAAAACTATTAAACTTATCATTATTAGTCTATTTCTTATCATTTTCAGCTCACAACTTATTAATAAATAATAATAATAATTTGTTATTTGTTGTATATTTCTTCTCATGAGGTTTTGAAGTCTAAGTGACTGAATTGAAATATGACAATTTCTAATTTCTTTTTTTATGTCATTTTTCTAAGTAAATAAGCATTTTTATTATAATTTGTCAGTTTCTTTATTTACTTTGATAAAATTCTGGGAGAATAAAAGAAAACTTAAAATTACTAAATTCTAAATTAAATTTGAGAATAACACTTTAATACGTTTTGACAATACTGAATTGGCATATAATAATATATTTTTGCATAAAATTTTTATTTGAGATTTAATAATTTTAAATTTATTTTTACGGAATTCTTTCTAAAATTTGTAGTTTGATTTTAATTTTTTGTTTTTGTTAAAGATCTAAACATTAACTTTTATCGATCGTTTGATACTCAATTTACATCTCCCAGTTTGCAATTTGTTTGATTTGTATCATTTTCTTTTGCTATAATGATTAGTATCAATTTCGGTTTACAAATATTAGATTCATTTACTTTGTTATTGTGTGATTTTGTTGAGGATGCAATATTTATCTATTTTTTTTTGGATTACATATTTTGGAAAAATTATTAAGATTTTGGTAATTTATTGTCATTTACTTTATTTACTGATTATGAAATTTCTTGATAATCATGTAGAATAATTTTTTATTAATACTTATCAACATTTGAATTGTTACTTTTTTTAACTAAATGAGGATACAATATTTATTTCTTTCTATTTCAATTTAATTGTATATCTATAAAAATGATTAATCTGAACTACTCCTCCAATCCTTAATATAAGACCCAATTGTTAAGTTGATTTTGATCTTAAATATAAGACCCAATTGTTAAGTTGATTTTGATCTTAAATATAAGACCCACTTCTTATATTTATCAGTTTTCTCTAAACTACCCCTATGAATACTCCCTCAACCATAATTAAGTAGAGGAGGGAGATGAGGTATTAAGAAAAATAATTATGGTGTTTTAAAAAAAAGTCACATTTCTTATAATTAACTAACTTACCTAACTTCTTTAATTTAATCACATTAGTTAAATGGGTCTTATATTAAAGTTTGGAAGAGTACTAGATTAACAACTAAAAATTAAAACTAAGATATATTAACGAAATTGCAAATTGAAAGACTCAAATTAACCTCTATCTCATCTCATACTTACCACTTAAATTAGGCTCCAATGACAATTTTAGAAATAACTTCAAATTCCTTTTGTCTAACCATTTGTAATCTAAATTATGAATTAAAAATAATTTTGTTTACCTTTTTTTTATTAGGAAAACCATATTGAAGGTATCTATACTTTCTTTCAATTTTAATTTGGTACCTATGTTTTTTCCCTTTAATTAAACATTTAATTTTATCTTTTTAGCAACATTAGCTCTTATAACTTTGTTCTATTAATATTTTTAGTCTCTACATAAGGATTAATGATGTTAATAGAGCAAAATTAAAGATTTAGTTAAGAACAAAAAACACATAAGTACCAAATTAAAAATTAAAAAAAAGTATAAGTATGGTTTTTTTTTTTTTGGGACAAGTACAAATTGAAGTTGATTTGTTTGCTATGGAAGAATGGGGAATCACACAAAATCGGGAGACTCTCGCATTTCGGGTCCAAATCTAGCTTTCATTTCACCGGAGGCAACGACACCGTTTCGTTCTTCGTTTTTAGCTCCGCCTGTATCGAAGCCGCTAAATTTGCAGTGTTAACAGCGTAACCGGTCCATTTCGCGCCGATCATATCATACCGTCCCCGATCTCGGTCGGTCTCGGATTCTCAGTTCTCCTCTCTCCCTTCCGTATCTTTGCTTCATCTCTTCGATCTAGGGTTTATCTGAGACCCAAACAGGACGCTTATTCTTACATGATGTCTCTGTATTAATTCCAATATAATTGGCCGATGGCGATAACCATTGAGAGCTCGGTTTGGGAGCCAAATCCATCCATATACATCTTCCTCTTCTTCTCTTGCTGTTTCTCGATCTTTCTTTTTCCTCATTTCACTAATTCTAACAGAACATCTACAGTCTTCGACCATGGAATCTCTTCCTCGTTTCTTCGCTTTCAGCGGAAATTCATTCTTCTCTATTCTCTATCTTCAGGTGAAATGCTTTTACTATAACAGTGTTTGGATTTCAAGAAATGCGCTTGTAGAAAAAGGAGAAGCAACTTTTGAACTTGAAATTCATGCTTTATTTAGTTGATGGCGTCAGAACTAAACCAAAAGGGACATTATTTTTCTCTTCAATTTAGTCTCCGGTTTTCGCAACCAATTTTCGAAATTCTTTAACTTTAAACTGCACTTCTTAGTGAATTAAGCTTTAGATCTGTAACGTGAGTGCTAATTTCATTTTTCTTACTTTCATCTTGTCAGTGATGGAAGGCCTGTGGTTAGCTTTTGGTGAGTTCGAGTTAGCTTCTTACGGAGTTGGCAGGGAGCAGATGGTTATGTCTCTCTGTTATAGATTTGGGGCGTCTCTCATTGCTAGTCCTTTTCTTGGTGTGATTTCAGACTTAATGTAAGCGTATGAATTGCCTGCTATTATTGCTACGATGTTTATACGTTATCTCTAATTTCTAATTTCTTAAAGGTCCAACTTTTACTGAGTTGTCAATTTCAGTAAGTCTGATGTTAAAGTGACAAGTATTATTGGAATTTTTTGTATTAATTATTATATGTATTTATGATTTTCTTTAAACAAATAATAATGTGTATCATTCATAGTGGAAATTCCACAATGTTCGATATGGAAGAATCACTAACACTTTGAATGATCATTGGTGAAGTATTTTCTGTTGATTTTAAGTCAACCTCCATTGCAATGATGTCAGAAAGGGAAAAAACTGTTCAACTTTGACAAGCATTCTTTTAACGGGTCTAAAACTGCACAATGCCAAACTTTTGTGACCTATAATTTTAATTATATATTTGGTGTTGCCTAGTCCCATGGATTTTTTTTCCTTCTACTTTTAAATATTTCATATCTTTGCTGAGTCATGACATCCTCCTGAGTCATTTGAAACATGAAGCATGATATTGCCATGCTAGATTAGACAGTTTAGCAGCTTGGAAATTTGTGAAGTGGTTATGCAAAACTATGCTTCTTCAAGAAATATATATATATATATATCTATGTATGTATAATTTTTTTAATAATTATTGTAATAATAATTTTCAGGTGATGTTGTTGCATGACGTGCTGC